CTCGTGTGAAGGAAACAAAATCTTCACCACTTCCCATGGTGTCTACAGACCATTTTAGGTGTAACTCAGCATATCCTCCTTCCACATAAAGCAAACCTCCCATGGTCTCTCCCCGGCCACTGGCCGCCTGCGACTACAGTCTTCTCTGAGCGAACACTAACAAGGCTGGTGACGGGAGAGGGAGGGCAAAGAAGTCAAGGTACAAAGTGGGAGGGACAAGAATCAGTGCCTTCGGAGGGAAATGTCCAAAGAGGGAAAGACAGCACATTCGGACATTCCTTGGGAGGAAAGTGAGCTGTAAAAAGCTACGGTAAGTAAACGCTGGACGGTGAAGGTCATATACAAACTACAGGCTAATTTCTGTGGAAGAACTGGATTTAGAGGGAAAGCAGTAGTGGATGCCCTATTCTGTATACATTAGACTTGCTAAAAGATGCTGGAACTCCAATGCTTTTAACCTCCTTGGTGACGGGACTTGTGTGGAGACACCAAGGTACCCAGCAGCGGAACCTCAGACTCCCGAGATACTGGTCCTTTAAAATAATTTGGAGAGGGTATCAAGATGTGCTTCAAGGATCTTACAGTTCCCTATTTCATGTAGTTTCTCAGCAACTTTCTGAAAGCTCATTTTCAAAGAAAATACTGCCTTTAAAAAAAAAATAAAAACCAGGACAGTGAATGAGCCTTTAGGAGTTGATTTATACAATGCAACAGGAACAAACAACCTGCATATACACTCTATCATTGAAAATCAACATTTTCCATGTCTATAGAGAGCATGTGTGAAACAATACAATAGAAGTGGGGTTCCTGATTAATTAAAAAACAGAAAACTACATCAGTCAAATATCTTCAATAGATCATTTTTTTCATTTCATTTAAGGTTTATATATCATATATTGTTATATTAACATTTTTTTCACCCATTTAAAAGAATGGAAATTGTGATTCTACAGTAGTACTTTATAGTCTTAATGATCCAGGAGGTCTGAATGTAAGATGAAATCCTCTGGAAGTAACTGTTGGTCAGTAGTCGATCCAAAACACTGGACCTCTCTGGCCCACCTGCACCATCGCACTCTAACCGGGGGGCCACACGCCTTCTCCCACTTAAACCTGCATCTGCTCCAGGTATTTGTAGGTCGGGTTTTCGTAGCCATGGTTCTGCATCTTGTTCAGGTGACGCTCTTCGGGGGTAAGCATCGGGTCGACCTGGAGGAACAATGACTAAGGATCACTGCGGGGCCCCTAAGAGAATGGCACAGGGTTCAGATGACCTAAGCTGTCTGCTATGCAATCCCCTGGGGACCAAACCCAGCCCAGCGTCCCATTTCCACTGGGTGAACCAAGCAAGGCCTGGTGGTGAGGACACAGGAGGATGAAAGAGAAAAGAGGAGGGTCCAAGGGGCAATGCTTCTGAAACCTGGAGTCCTAAAGGCTTAGTCCAAGTTAGAGAAAACAGTGAACTGAATTTCCTAGGACCACAGTGACAAGCAAGTCCCAGTTCCGCTATCTACCATCTGGGACAGCCAACGCGAGCATCCCTGTAAAACAAGGAGTGGGGCTCTATAGGGTCTTTTCCAGCTCTTTGGAATTCTACAACTAGGTCTGTGTTCAGTGGGAGATGAAACCAAATAACTAAGACATGCATCTAAACTAATTTTCCAGTGCATATTATATTCCTTATTAGATTCATTTTCTAGAATCAAGAGACTGGCCATTTCCACCACCCACCAAAAAATGAGTGGTGAGCAGTTCTAATTACAAATCAGCAAAAGATGAAACAGGAACAGCCTGCTCTGGCTCTTTCTAAATTTCTGTTACTTTTTTCCCCATTAAAAAAGAAGAGTACTATTCCCAGTTCATATTTTTAAGGCTTAATGCACTCATGATCGCCACTGTTGCCTG